AAAAAAAATTCTAGGCCGAGGTGAGGAGATTGCCTGAGCCCACAGGTTTGAGAACAGCCCAGGCAACTTGGCGAGATCTCATATCTACAATAAATCAAAAAATTCGCCCGGCGTGGTGGCATGTGCCTGTAGTTCCATCTTGAGGCGGAAAGATTCTCTGAGCCCAGTAGGTTGAGGCTGTGGTGGCTGTGAGCATGCCACTGCACTACAATCTGGGCGATGGTGAGAAACTCTGACTTGGAAATAAACATTTTCTGACATTATCTATCTACTAGGACAGATATCAGATCACACAGGTCAAGGGTCAGATGCCAATCAAACGTCCCAAGTTGTAACTTGTGCTTCTGACTGAGCCATTATAAATTGGGGTTCCTGTTAGGGTTGGGACAGACAGGGTGAATGTGGAGATGTGGAGAGAGGCACACAGCACTGCTGGGTCTGGCAAACCGGAGGTACGCACTGGTAACCCAGAGATCCAAGCAAATGCAAAGAATTGCGACACACAGAGGTGAGAGAAGAAAAGATTTATTTAAGAAAAACTCACCCCCCCCAAGACAGGGATGGGCCTATACTCTAGGTGAGTGTGGCTTGGTAGCCCCCCAGAGTCCTGGCTTAAATCCTTTTCTTGGAGATGTTGCACTTGACTCCTGCCGTGACTTCCTTATCGACAACCTGTGGATGTCTTGGAGAACCTGTGACACAGGAACCCATTAATGTTTGCCCACATTATCATAGTCCCTAGAGAAGGACGTGACAAGGATTCTAATTTTCCTGCCTTCCCAAATGACATTCCTTAGACCTAATGGAGGGTGTACCTTCCCTTATCTCCTAGGCATCCCCAGTGGGTAGCTTCGGGGGATACTTGGCTTCCCTGTAGATAGTGCCCAATTTACTGGAAGATCGAATCCCCACCTGCTCTCCCTCTGAGTGGTTATAACTTTTGTTGTTTTTTTTTGAGTTTGAGTCTCACTCTGTCGCCCAGACTGGAGTGCAGTGGCCGCTGCTCCCAGCCACCACAGCCTCAACCTGCTGGGCTCCGGCGATTCTTCCGCCTCAGCCTTCCAAGTAGCTGGAATTACAGGCATGCACTACCATGCCCGGCTGATTTTTTGACTTGTTGTAGAGATGAGGTCTTGCTGCCCAGGTGGGTCTCGAACCCGCGGGCTCAGGCAATTCACTCACCTCAGCCTCCCAAAGGCATGGGATTACAGGCTGAACCACTGAGCCCGGCTGGTTATAACTTTTGTAATTACAAGTTTCATGACTTTTGCAATCCTTGCCCAATGCAAGGCCTTGTAAATTCCCTTTACTCTAGGCAAGCTTGCTTGCCACTATGAGATACCTGATACCTGGAAGTCTGTTTCTGAAAAGACAAAGTCGGTAAAGTTAATTATACCTAAAGTGTGCATTTCTCCAAAAGCATAGCTTCTACTTTCTCATCATTGTGTCAGGGTTTAAGAACAAGATGAAAAATGGCTTCCCACTCTTGGTCTGTCCTTTCAGTTCCCATCATCTCCCTCCACAGGTTTGAGCACTTGCTGGGACTGCTCACAGAAATCAGAGAAACTTTTCACTTACATTTGTTTGTTATAAAAGATAAAAGTGAACTGTCAGATGAAGAGGTACATAGAGTGAAGTATGCAGGAATGGATATGAAGTGTCTATGCCCTCTTGGAAAAGGGGAAAAGGGGACAGTGCACAAACCTCTGTGTGTTCAATAACCCAGAATTTCCTCAAATCTTGCAATTTGATTTTTTTTTTCCCTTGAGTCAGAGCCTTACTCTGTCACCCAGGCTGATGTGCTGTGGCAAGCTCACAGTCACTGCAACCTCGATTTTCTGGGTTCGGGTGATCCTTCCACTTCAGCCTTACAAGTAGCTGAAACTACAGCCATGCACCACTATGCCTGGCTAATTTTTTAACATTTATTTTCAAGACGAGGTCTTGCCATGTTGCCCAGGCTGGTCTCCAACCTGTGGGCTCAGGCAATCCTCTCGCCCCTGCCTCCCAAAGGGCTTGAATCATAGGTGTGAGCCACTGTGCCTGGCTAGTTTGAGTTTTTATAGAGATTAATCTCCAGTCCCCCTCTCCTTTCCCAGAGGATTATAGATGGGACTCAAAGTTCCAATCCTCAAATCACTTGGGCTTTTTGGTGACCTGCCCCATCCTAAGGCTATCTAGGGACTCCACCCTAAGTCACTTCATTAGCATGAACTCAGATGTGATCAAAAGGGGCTTATCTCTCCAGGGTAGAAGGGCATTCCAATTAAAAAAGGGGAGAGGAGATTCACACCGGGTTTGGTGGCTGAGTTCTATAATCCTATCACTTTGGGAGGCTGAGGTGAGAGGATTGCCGCTCGGGTCCAACTTGGTGAGACCTCATCTCTACAATAAATTAAGAAAAATTAGCTGGGTGTGGTCACACACACATCTGTAGTTCCAGCCACTTGGAAGGCTGAGGTACAAGGATCGCCTGAGCTCAGCAGGTCGAGGCTGTGGTAGCCATGAGTGTGCCACTGCACTCCAGCCTGGGTGAGTGAGACTCAACTCAAAAAAAAAAAAGGGGGGGGGACACTTATTATGAATAACAACAGACATAGCTATTACTCAGGAAATTTCTAGAGTTTTAGGGTCTCTGTCAAGAACTAGGGACAAAGACCAAATCTATTACATATTATAACAAATTAGAGTTTCAACAAACTATCCTGCTTCAACAAACTATAAAGTTAAGGTACAGTGTGCTGTGCGAACACAGCATTCATCCTCATGACAATCCCAGAAAGCAGGCATAGCTAAACTAGGCTTTCTAGGAGGAATCTTAAACATGGGAGAACACCCTCATGAAGCAAACACAAGTATTCTCATTTTTGCATTCTTTCCTAGTCTCTCCAATCAATGTAATCCCAGACACCCATGTCTTGTACACTGAAATAAACAATCATGAAGTATAACGGAAGGAAGGTGATTTTATTCCAAAAGCTGGCTGGTGAAGAAATGGCCACGTTCAGGTCTCAAAGAAACCATTTCTGATTTTTAGGTTGTATGCAAGGGTATAAAAAGGGAAAACTGGTATGGAAAACATGCAGGCATGGCACAGGGTGTGTCTTGATGGCTTATCATGGGTGGTGGTCCTCCCAGCAGTCTGGTTGGTGTTATCTCAGTTGGCTTTTCTCTCTACAAGGGAAATAATCTCTGCAAGTTGCTGCCACAGAGCAAGTCAAAATCATCATTACAAAACAAATCACTTACAACAAATTACATGCTTTTTTGTGATGTTAAAACGATGCTTAAGTTTAAGTATTCTACTCCGTGCCTGGCTAATGTTTTCTCTAAGGGCGAAGACTATTTCCACCCAAAACAACATAATCCCAACACAATGATGTTACCCTGTAAGAAACAGTTCCTGCAACCCGTTAATATGAAGTCTTAAAATTATAAAGCTTCTCATTAAACAACTCCACTTAAAACAAAACTTAAGCTGGGCTCGGTGGCTCAACCTGTGATCCTGCGCCTTTGGGAGGCTGAGGTGAGTGGATTGCCTGAGCCTGCAGGTTCGAGATCCGCCTGGGCAGTGAGATCTCATCTCTACAATAAATAAAAAAATCGGCTGGGCGTGTTAGCGCGTGCCTGTAATTCTGGTTACTTGGAAGGCTGAGGCGGAAGGATCGCCGGAGCCCAGCAGGTCGAGGCTGCGGTGGCTGGGAGCGGCCACTGCACTCCAGTCTGGGCGACAGAGTGAGACTCCAACTCAAAAAAAAATCTTATGCCTTGTATTCAAACATCATAACTACAATTACAAGTTAAAATATTCAAAACAAGCAAAAGAAAGCCCTTTAAACATGTCTCAGAGTCATCACATGGGCAAAAAGTGACGGGTTAAACAACATAGTGGAAAGATGGACAATGAGTTTCCAGTAACCTGTGGTCCGGGGTCACCAGGACCCTGTTAATCTGGTAGGCCTCCAAGGCTGGCTCCCAACACAAAGGGGGAAAAAAAAACCACCTTTAAAATAGATCTTAAGGGGCCGGGCTCGGTGGCTCAACCTGTAATCCCAGCACTTCGGGAGGCCTAGGCGAGAGGATTGCCTGAGTCCGTGGATTTGAGACCTGCCCAGGGAACTTGGCAAGACCTCGGTCTCTACAGTAAATCAAAAATAACCGGGCGTGGTAGTGCATGCCTGTAGTTCCAGCTACTTGGAAGGCTGAGGAAGAAGGATCGTCCGAGCCTGGCAGGTTGAGGCTGCAGTGGCCAGGAGTGTGCCACTGCCCTCCAGCCTGGGTGACAGAGTGACTCCAACTCAAAAAAAAAAAAAAAAAAACATCTTAAGACTGAGATACTCAGTTATATCTCTATACAGAGTTGTATTTCGATACAATTGTAATCATGTCATATAGATTATTTTGCTTGGGGCTTTTTTCATTTAATAAATTATCACTGGCATTTCCCCACATTTCCAAGTATTTAAAACCAGCATTTTCAACCACTTCAAAAGAGTCCTTGTGTGCTGGGCAATGATTTGCTTACCTATTTTTCTCTAGTCAGGCTTGTGCTTTCCAGTCAGGTCCAAGGGCAAAAATTCCCCTGTTAGGGTACGGACAGAGTGAAGACGGCGTGGTGGAGAGGGGAGGCACACAGCACGGTAACCCAGAGATCTGAGTAAATGCAAAGAGTTGCAATACACAAAGAGGTTAAGAAAGAAATGTTTACCTAAAAGTAAGTTAGAGAGAGAAAGAGAAGGAAGAAAGAAGATTCACCTCCCCAAGGTGGGGGAGGGGGCCAAAGCCAATAAGTATGGCGACAGCCATAGCTCAAAGAGCACATGGCTACACCAGAGTCTAGCAAGGCAAGGGTTGCTGGTTGCTTGTGGTTGAGTCCTTTTAACCATTCCCCTAGACAGGGAAGATCATTAAGGTAACTGGGTAGTGGTCTGGTCTACATCATCACAAAGCGCAGGTACTGATGATGTCGGGTTATGGACAGCAGGCAGATGGGTGGGTTAGTCACATGATTGTAGGTCACAAAGGGCTGATTATGTTAACCCTGGGGGGGGAGGGTTCCTGCAAGAGACTTGTTAGACATTTGCAATTCACAAAGTCAGACATTTGCAACTCACAAATTCCTGGACCAAAGGTGTGGTGGTCGTATTATTACTTTTATGACTTTGGCCTTGACAAGGAATCAAAAGTTTACTAGAGATTATTATGCTAAACCATGAATGGTTGGGTTGTCCTAGTCTTGCATCTGAAGGAGATTTGCTGAGGGGGATGGGATAGGCTGCTGCTTGTTTTGTAGTAGAATGTATGAATGCTTTCTAATGGGTATGCTGAAGCAAAAAGACTCAAGAATAAGCTAAGTTTCTTCTATGTTTCTATAGGCACCTTTCATTCCCCATAGCCTTTTGAAGGCAGACTAACTGGAGAAGAGGCATACACATTTTATTAATGTGTACATAGGGGAGAACTACAGAGTTGAGTTCTTTAGGTTACAGAAAGAATGGAGCTTAGATTTTGGCAAAACAGATTATGGGAGGGAGAAGAGGAATTCTGTTGAGGGACAACAAAGGATTACTAGGGAGAATGAATGGATCTGAGAACAGAGATTAATTTATAAATAGTTCTCTTTGGAATTGGAAGGTACCTGAGAGATAGATTTTATCCTGTGAGAGGGTCTGTTCAGGTGTGGTGACAGTCTTACAGGGAGGGGAAAACTAATTGTTTTTTTCTGTGGGTCTTTAGGTAGAAAAAGGAATTTCTTTTCTAAGTTGGAATCTTACTTCGTTGCCCAGGCTGGAGTGCAGTGGCATGGTCAGCCATCCCAGTGTCGACCTGGGCCCCGGCAATCCTTCCACATCAGCCTTCCAAGTAGCCGGAACTACAGGTGCATGCTACCATGCCCAGATAATTTTTTATTTATTGTAGAGTCGAGGTTTCACCAAGTTGCCCAGGCTGGTCTCAAACCTGCAGGTTTAGGCAGTCCTCTCACCTTGGCCTCCTAAAGTGCTGGGATTACAGGCTGAGCCACCGAGACAGGTCAGAAAAAGGATTTTCAGAGAACAACTTCATCCTGGCTTTGGGAGAGAAAGTGAGAGTAGGAGAGGGGAAGGTCAGAGAGACCTTGAAGTCTTCAGCATGTCAAAGTGCCAGATTTTAGGGCATTGGCTTCTGGGACCCAGAGGCTTGGTCCTTAAATCAGTGTTTTGTTTTTGAGTTGGGAGTCTCACTTCATCACTCAGGTTAGAGTGCAGTTGCACTCTCACAGCCATCCCTCAACCTGCTAGGCTCAGGCAATCCTTCCACCTCAGCCTTCCAAGTAGCTGGAATTATAGGTGCACGCTACCACACCTGACTGATTTTTTGATATATTGTATAGATGAAGTCTTGCTAAGTTGCCCAGGCTGTTCTCAAACTGGTGCGCTCAGGCAATCCTCTCACCTCAGTCTCTCAAACTGCTGGGATTATGGACATGAGTCAACTTTGGATCAAGATTGATTAATGGATCAACTGAGTAAGTCTCAGTCAACATTAAAGCAAAAAACATAATTGTTTTGTTAAACATCTCCTTAAATGTATGCCTATGTTGTACATTTGTGATGTAAAATATATTTTTTTATTCTGGGTGCGGGCAAAACAAATTGGGAAAATACTCCAACCTGAGTTCCCTTTCCCCCTTCTGTAAAATGGGGCAATAACCTGGACTTCATAAGGATGGTGTGAAGTGTAACACTTTTGTTCATACTCAATCCATCACCTTCTCCATCTCTACCAGCACCACTGTAACTCGAGACTCGATTACCTCTTGCCTGGGCTACTGCCATAGCTTCCTAACCAGCCGCCCTTTCTCCATCCTGCCCCATTACAATTCATTCTCTTCCCAGGAAGAGTGCTGTCTTAAAACCCAATTCATCTGCACCTGCAAAAGGAACAGGGAAAACAACAAAAAAAGTAAAATGAATGAATACATAAATTAATCAAAACAAAACCCATAATTCATATCGTCACTCTCTGCTTGAATTCTTGGAATGGCTTCCCATCCCCCTACTCTCCTAGAGTTAGGGAGAAAAGTCCAGATTCTGTGCCCTGGCCTGCAAGACTCTCCTCCCCACCTCTTCCATGTTCTCCCTCTTACCACCCTTTTCTCACTCACCCTTTCGCTCCAGGCAGAGCCTTTACACTTGGAACGCTTTTCCTGGGCATCTTCCCGGGCTGGCGCCTCCTTATCTGCCAGGGCTCAAAGGCCACCTCTTTGAAGAGGCCCCCTGGGATTTCCCCACTACCCTGTCCCCACGCTTTGGCTCATTACTTCTTTAAAATTTCCCTTTCGACTTGTATCTCTCTGTGGACCGATGTTGTCTCGTCACTCGAGACCCAGTTCACTGGCTCCGAGTGGGGTGTGAACCCAGGAGGGCGGGAAGGGGAAGCGTCCTGGAAGCGCCTCCCCGTTGGGTCTCGAGGGAACATCCCGGTCCCATCTGCGCAGCTCCCCACCGGGTCTCTCGCGCCCAGGTGGCCCGCGCATCTCGGTCCAGAGTTCAGGTTTACGTTCCGGGTCGGAGGGCGGGCCCCGGCGGCGGCGGCGCTCTACT